GTATCAGTATGAAATTTGATCAAAATCGCTCATTTAATGGCTTACAGTTCGGGCTACAATTAAACCATGAACAAAATGTTTTTGGGTAGTTTTGAGAAGTATTTGCAGATAATAGATCCTATTAGAAGGTTAGAAATTAAGCCTCGCCCTGTCATGTGTTTAAGTCATTACTATACTAAACATCCTGTTGAGATGATTGCCCTCTCCTGAACCTTGTGTGTCTAGGCAGGAAACCATTGCTTATCTTTATATAAATCATAAACCCCTCTACACATCCTTGCTTAAATCCTTGAGGCTTACAATGGCACTGTATTCACATTAATCCCAAATGACCCTCATGCTCTTGTATGTGCATATTTCATGTCGGTGTTTCTCACATAACGCATTTCTTGCACCATAATTATAGATGCACGCACACATGAATTATACACCAAATTTAATTTCCCTAAACCTACCCAAAATAGACTATTGCATGACTTGGCTGCTGTCCTCATTTTTGTTTTTAGTCACTAGCTATTTTTCTTTTATAAACGTACACTTGTCCTCTCCTGTACGGAGATTATTCTTCTGTATTTAAAAGCTCTATTTATGGGAGTCGACAACTGCACACTACGAGTGTGTCTAATTGGGGCACAGCCTGTGTTTATTGTTGTTTGTCTTTTGTGTTGATATGGTGTAGTAACTCTGTCCATTTGTCTGCCGTAGAGAGTGAACCCAGGGATGCAGGAACTGACCAGAAAAGCTCGGGCATCATCCGCCTGCACACCATTAAACAGATCATTGACCGGGTGAGAAGAGCTAGATATGCACAGACCATTAAAGATAAAGGCAAATGGTAGAAATAGACACATCTTTTAACAGATTTGTTACGGTAATGAAAATGGCAGATAGCCACAATGATGTGTACAGCTCACTGCTGCCCTCTGGTGTACTGCACTCTAATGATGTTAGTTGCCCGAACCTCAGCAAAGTGGTGGAAACTAATTGAGACCGATGAGCTGACCTCTTACAAGGCTTCAAAATCTGCCACACAATATGTGAAAAATCATGTTGGCCATATGCTCAGTCTGTCAACAGAGGTGAAACTACCTAGGACCTTATTGAAATAAACACATTAACAACACATTTATGTTTTTATTTGTGTTTTGTGTATGAAGGACAAGCATGCAGTGCTGGACATCACCCCTAATGCAGTGGACCGTCTGAACTATGCTCAGTGGTATCCAATTGTGGTGTTTCTCAACCCAGACACCAAGCAGGGCGTGAAGAACATGAGGACCCGTCTCTGCCCTGAGTCTAGGAAGAGCGCCAGGAAGCTCTATGACCGAGCGCTTAAATTAAGGAAGAGCAACCACCACCTCTTCACCAGTGAGTCCATCGGGAGGGAGAGAGAGAGAGAGAGAGAGAGAGAGAGGGTTAGATGGGGATTTCAAACTAAGGGGGGTGGAAGACATTTTACAGAGGCAAAGACACATTTCAAAGGCGGTTGACACTTGAGTGACGCGGTGGGGGCTGTGGCTACACGGCACTTGTGCTGGCCCTGTTCTGTCAGACTTCTTACAAAAGCTTGTTCAGCACAGAAGAGCACCGTCGGGTCCCTTTCTCAGCATGCATTCTTCCCGTCAAGGGATATGGTGTTACCATGCTTTAGGAGCATCTGCTGGTGATAAACATGTTTAGAGAGCATTTTGCTTGGCTCACATTCAGCCTTTGCACACACACAAATTCTTGATTAAAATCTTCTGTCCAAACAGTTATTACACCACAAACTGCATCTGCGTACTACGCCTTTATCCACTGGTTTTCATTTGAGAGGTTTTCTCAAAATCAAGCCACATAATGATGTTCTGCTATAATTGATGTTTATAAAACTGGGAAACAATAAATTTGGAATATTTACTAAAATGCACAAGGCAAGAGATTGTTAGTATCACTTCCCTGTGTGTTGTGAATGGTTTGCACATTTTATTCAAAACGGTTACTTATGAAGAAGAAGAAGAAGAAGAAGAAATTTGCACTTTAGCAGCATAGTCAACAATCTTTGGTTCCCAAGTAAGAAAATTGCTTGAGCAACTTAAAAATTATCCTTTCACAGACATGATGCCAATCATGTAAAAGTGGCAGAGCATTTGTGAGTTAGAGTTCATGTCTAAAATGAACTTTTATTTATGATGCTATGGTTTTACTTAATTGCTAATTAAGTAAATGTTCATACTTATTTCATTGTAGAGATGTTTTTTATTCTCTTCTGCTCTTCTCTCTTTGTGTATTCAGCAACCATTAACTTGAACAACATGAATGATGGTTGGTTTGGAGCGCTGAAAGAGATAATCCAGCAGCAGCAGAACCAGCTGGTGTGGGTTTCAGAGGGCAAAGTAAGACCCCCCCCGTCTCACACACACACACACACACAGACAGACAGACAGACATTTCTTACTCCCTCTCTCCCTTTACCTTTTGTTTTCCAGGCTGATGGGACAGCTGAGGATGACCTTGACATCCACGACGACCGACTGTCCTACCTGTCGGCACCAGGTAGTGAGTATTCCATGTACAGCACCGACAGCCGCCACACCTCCGACTACGAGGACACGGACACAGAGGGTGGAGCCTACACCGACCAGGAGCTGGATGAAACACTGAATGACGATGTGGGTCCACCCACGGAGCCTGCCATCACCCGCTCCTCTGAGCCTGTCCGTGAGGACCCACCGGTCATCCAGGAGCCCCCTGGCTACGCTGGTTACCAGCACACAGTGCAGCCGGACCCCCTGAACCGCATCGACCCAGCTGGATTCAAGGCACCAGTGCCGCAGCAGGTAGCGTTTCTGAGAGCTGCACGTCTTCCCTGTTGTCTGGAGGACGTGGTGTGCGTTAGAAGGGTTTTCTGGAAGCGCTATTGAAGGCACTTTTTTATTTTTACAGTTACAAAACTACTGTTACAAAACAATATCAGTGGGAAAGTGAAACCCATTGTGGTCAGGTATTTATCGCAACATATAAATATTATATATAACATATATATATATATATATATACATATATCTCTATATTTATTATATTATTTATTTCTATGTTTGTTGATTGATGTTTGTGATATTGTGTTTTTTATTTTTGAAAAGGAGAAGAACTTGAAGTTTTACTGTTACTCTTGTACTCTGTATTACCACAAGCTGTCTTATTGGTGTGACTGTTGCTGATGTCACTGGGAGAAGAAACTTATGTCTAAGTGTCTGTACCAGTAATCACCTATGTGCACTTCCTACCTTTGTTTTACCTATGACTGGGACTGTGACAATACGAAACTAGAAAGTATTATGTGCATGTTGGAAATGTCAGTGTTAACCCAGTGTACCTGTGAAATGTATTAATCAAAACCCGATTGGCCGTTGTGATATCCAAATCTTAACGTTTGTCGTCTCATGATGTGTTAATGAACATAAAAGGGGGAAAAAGGAGAAACTACTGTATTGTAACTGCAGCATTAAAATCATGTTAGTATTCTCTAACAATGAAAACTTGTCCTGCTGCTAATTCCTAACTCTCACATGCCATTGGTTGATCTACAGCTATTGTTAAATGCGGAGGCGGGTGATTGGTTATTTGAATCAGTGTAAGATGTAGGCACAAATGAGGAGCAGACCGTTTAGAGGGGCTGTGAAGGTAGTAGCACTTGTTAGTACTGCACCATAGTGTGTCAGCGCGTGTTATTAAACATTTCTGAACCACTTCACAGAAAGCAGAGGCCGCTGCCGTCCCTAGCATCCCCCAGCAGCCTGAGCCCCTGGCTGAGACATTGCCCCCTGCTGTCGACGTTACTGTAAAAACTGTAGGGGGTCTGAGCCCTGACGAGGCTCCTGGAGCTCCCCACAGCCAGCCAAGCCCCAACCCAGAGGCTGGCTCACTTAGGAGGCCCACCCCTGAGCTAGCCCCTCAGAGCTTCTCACCAGAACCTCTACAGTCTGGAACGGCCAGTACAGAACCAAAGGTATCCATCTGACCGTCACTGGACGCGCCGTGACCTGGGCCAGCTCAGCCCAGTCTGACCTGGCTGACCTCCTGTGCTGCTGCTGCCTGTCTACCTACCTACTTCCTGCTGCCACGCTTCTCTCTCTCTCTCTCTCTCTGTCTCCTTCTGCCCTGCATGTCTGCTGACCACAGTGCTGCCCAGAAGAGACTGTGTGTGTGTGTGTGTGTGTGTGTGTGTGTGTGTGTGTGTGTGTTGTTGTGTGCGAGAGGGTGTGTGTGCATGTGCTGGAGTGCGAGCAAATGCTGGTAAACAACAGTGGGCTTTGGAGATGATGGCTGCACTGACACGCCTACATGTAGGGGAGCAATGGAAATCCTGCAGCTCTCACTGTTGCTTATCTCTTACCTCTTTGCATGGCTGCAACATGTTTCTCTGTTAACTACCAGAAGCAGATGTATTTGTGCTGTATTTATCATTGCTGATTGAATGGATATCATTTCTTTGTAAAAGTAGCCATTAATTTTCCAACCATTTTATGAATGTTTGTCTTCTGTTTGAATTGTAGCTATGACCAAGTAGCGAAGACCACCTAAACAGAAATGTTCTTTATATTTGGATGGATAATTAATGGTTACTTCTCAAATATCAGGATTTTAGATATTTTTTATTTTTTTTTTTGTACAATGGGTATGTGCTTGTAATGTTAAATAATTATTGTGGAAGTTTCCTTCAAAATTTCACCAAGACAGTGGGTGACATTTTCCCTTGTGAATGCAGCAGTGTACACGTAATGTGTCAAGAAACCCCAAGTTATTAGTCAAATTATTGATAGACCCTCTGTAAGTAATTTACATTACATTTCTATATACCATTTTCAAATTTTGTCAGCTTGGACAGGAAAAATGCATCCCATTGTTTTGTTGTATTTTTTTATTTTATAACTTTGTTATTCTTTGTAATTCATTCAAGTGTTTAATTTGGGTACATTGTGGTGTTTTAAAGCTGCAATGAATGTTTGGCTGTGCTGCGATTTCTGTTTAATCTAAAGTGTCATCTGACCAGTAACTCTTCCCTCTCAGTTTCTCTATTTCAGGTCTGTCCCTTCTTGTTTCCTCTACTGCAATTAATTTCACGGACTTGTTTTAATATTCTCCTTTTCTCGTGCTATAACTGATTTTTGTATGTCCAGTTTTTCATATTACATATTTTATGTCCGTGTGTTAGTGGATCCTGTTCAGTTGTTAACCTTACTCTGTGTTTCTTATTTGTTTGGTAGATGTATCAGAATGATCCATACAGCACAGACAACAACACAGGGAGAATCAGTCACACCATGAAGCCTGTGACTTACAACCCTCTGCAGGGTTATCACCCTGACCAGCCATACAGAGATTACGACCACCCACCAAGTCGGTATGATGTCAGCAGCAGTGGAGTCAGCAGCGGAGGTGGTTACCCAGAACCAAAGTACCGGAACTATGACTCTAACCCACCCTACGAGAACAGTGTGCCTCACTATGACCAACAAACGTGGAATCCCTACAAGCAGCCCCTCTCTACTGCCAACTCCCAGGGCTACGATCCCCGTTTGCCATACGGTGACGGCCCTGACTCCCAGTACACCCCTCCTCTCCGCCACGACGGGCATCCATCTCAGCAGGGATTCGACGGACGGCCTCGCTACGGTAAACCGACGGGTCCAGGGCCTGTTCGCTATGATGATCCCCCACCTCCTGCTCCGCCTGACCTGCACTACAACCAGGATTCTCACCTGAGCACTTATCCCTCAGCTGCCCGCTCGCCAGAACCCCCTGCCCAGCGACCTGCCTTTAACCAGGGACCAACGCCACCGCAAAAGAGCTACAAACCTCAGCAGTATGATCCCATTCCTGTGAACTCTGAAACCAGCCCCACACCACCTTTCAAAGCAGAGGCCCCCTCACCGTCCCCTGCAGACCCTCCGAAACCCACCCCTGCCAGAGATGAGAAACCGGAGGATGACCCCGCCATGCGGCCGCAGTCAGTCCTGACTAGGGTCAAAATGTTTGAGAACAAACGCTCTGTGTCAATGGATAGAGCCAGAGATGCAGGAGATTCATCTGGGAACAGGGTAAACTGTTGGCAGATATATTACATAAGGCAGCTTGAGTAGTTACAGTTGTTACTAGTCTACTTAACTTGTACATTTTCTTTTCAACATATTGAGAAATTAACACATTAGAAGTGAACATCCTACTGATGGGGTTAATTGTTTTTGCTACTACAGGCAGCCGATTTACCCTTGAAAGCAGGTGGAGTAATCCCTAAAGCAAATTCTCTGAGTAACCTGGATCAAGAGAAGACCTTTAGGTAAGTCAATGCTGCTGTTATTGTGTTTCCACTCACCCTGATTCTTCAGAGTAATTTTGCACTAATATTGTTTAAGTAGTCACTTTAATTTTGATATTGACCAAGTTGCACAACCGCTTCATTTTGGCCATTTTTCATTGTATTCTCCTGCTCTGTTCTCACCTGTCTTTTCCTTGCATTTAACCTGTTATTTTATCACACCAACCCAGAGCCCCAGGGCCTCAGAAGCCTCAGCCCCAGGTAGCTGATGACATCGTGCGCTCCAACCATTACGATCCTGATGAGGACGAGGACTACTACCGGAAACAGCTGTCTTACTTTGATAAGCTCCAGACTGGTCCCAACAAACCCCAGCCACAAGTACAAACAACCCACAACTACCCCAGGTGATGCCCATTCACATCCACACTCCCAAGAAATTCTGAATATAATGTTTTTATGAAACATCTTTGACTTATTTCACTTAGATGATATAGTTTAAAGGTATTAATGTGTCTTTCAACTTTCCTTCCAACTATCTTTAACATCCTTTACAGCTTTTATGTTTGTCTTGGTTATTTCTTCTGGGAATCTCAATTGATGGTTTTGGTCTTGTGATATAGGACGGAGTCAGTGGAGAAACCAAGTCCAGTGGAGAAAAAATATGAACCAGTTCCCCAGGTGACACCTCCTCTGCAACCAGCCACACTGCCCAAACCTGCACCTGAAGGTAAAATCCACTGTTTTCTATCAAAGGAAAGGGAGAAACTAGTCCTTTATACGATCTACGCTGTAATCACATGCATGATGCATCTGTGTACTGAGAGACACTGACTGCTTTGAATGTCAAAATGTCGGAAATTACTGGAGAGCTTTTTGGCTGACCCTTATGGCTCTTCCACAGCCAAGCCTCCTGCCCGAGAGGACACTGTCCAGACCAACTTCCTGCCTCACAAGAGTTTCCCTGAGAAGTCTCCAGTTAATGGCACTAGTGAACAGCCTCCAAAAACAGTCACTAGCACCGGGGCTCCGCCAGTATCCAGCTACAACCGCTACACACCCAAACCCTACACCACGTCTGCCAAGCCTTTTGCGCGCATGTTCGACAGTCCTAAATTCAACCACAACCTTCTGCCCAATGACAAGCCTGAGATTGCTCCAAAGGTAAGTTGAATTCCAATTAATGATGCTATTGATGTAACTGTAGTCAAAAACATAAGCAAGCAAGGTAATCTAGTTTTGAAAAAAGTTAAATTTTAAATGCAATTTATTATTTCATACTGTACTTTTTCTCTTTCTATTTTTTATTTTTTTGTATCTTTTATTTTTTTTTATATCATTTACCAGTATTTCCCTACACTTAGGTCAAAACTCTTCTGGAACTGTAATTTTGTCACATGTTGCAATTCCATTTTTCAAAGAGCGAATTGATCTAAATAACTTTTCAGATCAATTGTAATGGGCCTGTAGAATAAGGATGTCCATTTCTTGATTTGAAAATCCAGATTAACTCAAATACACAACACATTTTAGGTTAAATTAGTAAATTAGTTTGGTTCTCACTGAGAAGCTATTTATCCTATTGTTGGTTGTTGGTGGTGATTGTATCAGTATTTCTAGCTGCATGCTCTTCAGCTAAGTTGCACTGTTGCTGTGTTTAATAATGGCTCATAAATTTATAATTAAACGGCAATCAAACACATATGTCATAGCCGTCCAGTCGTGCTGTCCAATTACGGAAAGTTAATCCACGCCTTCCAACCAGTCAGAACTGAGAATTTTCAGTCACCATACGTTAGCGCCGTACCACATACAGTAACTTATATATAACACTGTACCCTCTTGTGTTTGGAGCAGGGCCGGAGCTCCAGCCCAGTGAAGCCACAGATACCCCCACAGCCCCAGAACACAGACCATGACAGTGGTTTGGACACTTTCACGCGCACTGTGGACCACCGCACCAAACACCAGCACAACAACATCAACGCTGTGCCCAAAGCCATCCCTGTGAGGTAATAATGCAGCTCTGTCACCTGACGCAGGCTGACTAAAGAAGAATAGAGGTCTAAGGTATTCTGTTGAAAATGAGTGTGACAGTAAAGGTATCTGTCTCCCAGCCCCAGTGCCCTGGATGATGATGAGGATGAAGATGAGGGCCACACAGTGGTAGCAACAGCTCGAGGTATCTTCAATTCTAACGGTGGTGTCCTGAGCTCCATTGAGACAGGTGTCAGCATAATTATCCCACAGGGTGCCATCCCTGACGGTGTGGAGCAGGAGATCTATTTCAAGGTCTGCAGAGACAACAGCATCTTGCCACCACTTGACAAGGAGAAAGGTAACTTATCAAAGATGGAGTGAGGAAGAAGACATGGGGTTTTCTTTTGTTTACATTCTTATGAAGTCAATTCACATGGCTCATTTTTGGCCGCAGAGGGCAGCTGTTTTCAGTGGGGAAAAAGCTCTAAAACCAGCAGAAGAGCTAAAGAGACAGATATTTCCCTCCATAAATCGTTCCAAGAGAGTTAATATTGCTACATAATGTTGCTCTGTAACTGCTGGATGTGTAAATGAGCAGCTCTGTTTGCTAATTAATTTGCCATATCAACTTAAAAGGTGGCAATATTAGAGGAGGAAAAAATCAATACAGCATAGTATCGTGATATTTGCCATGGCAATACTGTATCGATACACAGATGCCAAGTATCGATGTTTTATTATATAAATTGCAGATGGGAGTTTTAACTTTTTGGTACTAGAATAATAAAATCTATTGCTTTTTTAGTCTACTAGAAAACTTAACAGGACCATATAGAGGACTGAAAAAGTGATATGAACAAACAGAGAATGTATCTTTTTAGATAAACAGATGTTGACAAAGTTTGACTTTAGGGACCTAGTTAGAAGTTGGAAAAAGGTAATAAATTGCAATATATATCAATATATTTAAGATCGCATTAAAATCAAATCGCAACATAAATATCGTGATAATATCGTATCGTGGGGCCTCTGGTGATTCCCACCCCTTGGCAATATGTCAGTATGGTGTTCACAACTTGTTTCTGCTGCCCCCAAGTGACAAAAATCTTTATTTATTTATTTGTTGGTCGGTCGGGTAAAATGTTAGTGTATGAAAATCCTCATCAGTCTACTCACTACTTGTTTCTTAAATATTTGTTTTTTTATGTAGAACCAGAATACCATAAAAACCTTCACACATCTCACTAGTCACAAAAATTGCTGTCACATTTTGGGTTGTGGATGTCTAACTAGTCTGGAAAAGCATGAGAGACTTGTTAATGTTAATCAAATGATCTAAAATAAAGAGATTCTTGTTTTTCCCCTAACAAAACCTTTACTATGTGTACTATGAGGGAATTAGACTTTAAAAGGCTCAAATTTTTCATCTAAAATATTAAACATCTGCTGTAGATATCCGATGCGAGAGATGTTAATTATGTTGTGTTGTTACTTTATCACAGACAGAGCCTATGAATGGCTGCCATGTGGGCTCGATACACCACCTGGTTCTTACACTTTGACAAGCTGAATTTTTTTTATTAAACTAAAGTCTGCATTAGTTTAATCCAGCTGTCCTCTGCAAGCTGTATTATAGGCAGCTTCCTTTGCTCTTGCTGCGTCTAGTCCAATTTGCATAGAAATTTCAGACATGCAAAGTGCTCCATTGTCGTATCTTGCTGACATTGACAGATGAGACCACGAGGGATCCCCGCACCCCCCAATCATATCAGCTTTTGGCAAACAAACAAAATTACGTTACAACAATCTCAAATTATAGACAATAATTATAGATAACCCGTATCCAAAGTGCCATACTGTCAAATGAATCTTTACATTTCTAGCATGGATGCCTTCCCCAAGCCTTCCAGCACTGTAGGGGAAAAATTACATTTGAGACCTGCTTGTGTGTGTTTATTTTGATCACCCTGCATTGCGTTTATAACCACGTTCTGTGTTTGTGTTTGCAGGAGAGACTCTGCTCAGCCCTCTGGTGATGTGTGGACCTCACGGCCTCAAGTTTTTGAAGCCTGTGGAGCTACGCTTACCTCACTGTGCGTCTATGACCCCTGATGGTTGGTCTTTTGCTCTAAAATCCTCCGACTCCTCGTCGGGTACGCTGGGCTCTCTCTGTTCTTCTGGGGTCATTTGGGCTGGCTGTGTGACAATTTGAGGGTTGTGGGTCACTGCTGAATCAGTTTTTACCCCTAGTTTTGGCTCTCAAATCAATTGCGAAAAAACTTGAACAAGATATTTTGGATACTCTGAGAATCAATCTAGGGGGAAAATCTGTCTTTTTCATAATTATTTCATTTTCATCATTTATGCTGGTTAACGCACCCACTCAATCTCTCATTCACTGTATCACTGGTTTTCTTTTTTTATTTCATGTTCAGATCAGAATCTCTCCTCATTGTGTTAGGTGCTGAAATTGCAGTTTTCTCTCTTTGTTTTCACCTTTTAGTCACCTTAACAAGTTTCTCTGATTTCATTTCACATTCATGCACTAGACGCTTGGCTGTACAGCAATTTAATTTCATCAGGTAGAATTATAGTGCATGCTGAGTGATTTTTCTCACATGGCCACCCGAATCCTGACCTGAAGAACAGCTTTTATAGATCTTCCATAAATTGGGACACTGTCATAACTAGTAACGCTCGTCATTATGCTGCAAAAAAGTAAAAACTGACTGAAATCTTGTTACCATGTTAAAATATACCTCAATAATTTTAGTTTCTGTCTTCCTTAGTGTTCTTTCAAGATAGCTTCCAGGTGGCAAGAATTCATTAGTTTTTCAGACTGGCCTAGTTTGTTTACTAAAAGGAGTCTGGTTGTGAAATTGGATCTGGGAAGTAGAAGTACGCTAATAGATAAACCAATCACAGTTCTCGGTGCCTGCAAGGGATTATTCAGACACTTCATCAATAATGCAGTAGAAGAGATTTAAGCAGTTAACCACCTAATTAAGAAGTTCCCATAAATATCCAAGTAAAACCGCAAAGCAGAATCTGTATTTATATTGAGCACTGAAATTGATCAGCACCGTATTTTGGACAGAAATGAGATAAAGAGAGAATTCTGCACAAATCATGTTTAATGGAATTCAAAACCAAGACAAACTTCTTTTTGTAGGCCATTTTAATCTATCGTTTAATTGAGCAAACAAGATAACATTAGAGAAATAACCAATTCTCATATAGAAGTTAAAGTCAGTTTTTTTTAAAAAGTGAAGTAATTTCCCCTTTCCCTGTTTCCCTTAATACTGCCCTTCTCACACCCTGTCTTCAAAAACAGTGGTCAATTTGGCAGTGGTTGGGATTAGCTGTTAATTAGCCTCATTTTAAGGATGAGACTTGGAGGGCTGAATGTGATGTCAGCTCACTCCTTTGTGCTGCTGAATTGTGGGAGGATTATCAGCCTGCGTCGTAATCCTCTTATTGTAAAGCAAGGCCACTCTCTGGCCTCCTCCTGTCCCCTCTGTGGGTTTCTTGTCACTTTGCTTCCCTGCTTCTCCTTTTTCCTCCTATACAGCTGTCTGCCTGTCTTCCATCTACTCCGTGTTATTCTGTAAATGACTGTGTTACCTGTTAGGCTGAGTTCAAAGCCACTGTGATACTTCAACTCCGAAACTGACTTTTGTTAATGTGCTTGATTTGAAAATCACACAAAGCTACTGACATTGTAGACAGTGACGTCAAATTACACAGCATCTCATCTAGGGCTGCAGCTAACGATGATTTTAGTATTCGAAGCTTCTATAGATTATTTCAATAATTCATTGATGCGTCGTTTAAGAAGTACTGTGCACGTTTATATGTGATAGATATTTATTGGTCCTTTCGGAAATTCATCGTGTGTCATACAGCTACAATCAAACCAACAACCAGACAGCTGCTTTACAAACACAAACATCCCCCGAGTGCTATACAAGTTATACTAAAGGCTTGTGCAGACTACACGACTTTCAGCGTTGGTCGATGGCCGTGCCGTTCACACTACACAACTTGCCGTCATGTGACGGGAGTCCTGAAGTCGTTGTGGCGTTCACACTACGTGACTGATCGGTGACAGGGGGTCACACACTACACGAGCTGAATGCAGCTCTGTCACCCGACGCAGGTCTGCGAACCACGTTTTGTCTAGAAAACGCGTGAAACGGGAAATGAGCGATCCTGCACACGAAACAGCTGTTGTTTGTTATTATAAAGATACCAATTATAAAGACAAAGAATATGGGTGAAGGGATGGATTAGCACACGCAGGTAGCAGGGATTGTCTGAGCTACAGAGAGCTGCAGGTGAGTTAAAAGGTGCAGCTCCCCGACACCCAGTTAACTCATGACTGTGAGGTTACAACTCACGGCCCAAAAAGGAGAAGAACAAACGCATGTGTACATTTTCAGCTGAGGACTGCGGCTTACTTTGGCTTCAACTCAACAATCAATCATGATTTCAGTCAAATGCTAAAGTTGCTGTTATCTTGTCTATGGTCTGCTGGCAGAACACCGGTGCTTTCTGATCAGGCGTCAAGTTTTGTTTTATGGTGGACGGACGGTAACATTACAGAGTTGTTGTTTTCTTTAACTTTCTTCTTCGTCTCTCGCTATTTTCTCTCTCTTCCTCCACTTTGCAAACAGCGGTATCATAATCACGTTGTGTTCACAGCGTAAGCGCGATGTGCGACAGTAATAAATGTCCGTGCGAAACAGTATGGTGTATAGTTATATGGATTAAACGAAGCATTTTTGACCACCGCTGGAGCTATAAAGAGAGAGAGATTTGTTTAGTTTGTATCTCGTGCTCACACTAGGATGCCCAAGAACGCAGGTAATGCGATGCACAGTACTCTGATATAAACGGCGCAGGTTTTATTGGAACTGTTGAGATTCGGATTTTAAAAACGGCTCAAAAGTCCTGCAGTTTGTCCGACTTCAGCACGAGGTCCATTTAGTGGATATTTTCAGCACATTTTCACTACTCTTGGCATTCAGCAACAGATTATCTACCAATGAAGTGCACAACATTTGGCTCAAAAGCTCCAGGGGAGGGGAGTGCGTGCTAAAAAAATATTAACAAAGACGGAATTGTTATGATGATTTCCCCTGAATAATTTCTGAAATATTCGACAATGACAAGTGAAAATATGCTTTGACTTCCCATTTACCACTCTGACAAACTTGCCGTGCAACCTGGAACTGGAAGAAAAAATCCCACCTATTCTGGTAAGGTGCTGGCCTACAGGCAGACATCAAAGAAAGGAAGGGAAACCCACACAGAAACTCAGAGGATCACTGCTTTATTTATGATAAAAATAGTGTGTGTGTGTGTGTGTGTGTGTGTGTGTGTGTGTGTGTGTGGGGAAAACTTTGAAGGCTAGGTTGTTTTGCTCTTATTTTTGAGCCAGCATCAGCAGCTAGCTCAAGAAAAGGCCCGACGAGTGGCCAGCCCACATGATGTTTGTGGAAGAGGTTTCTGTTTGTCCAAAAAGCAAACAAGTCTGGAGGTGGTTGGCTTGACAGTTCTCAGCAAAAGAAAAGTGGGCAGATAGGTGTACACTCCCCCTCAATCCAACTCAGTCAAGTCAACAAGCCACGCTGCTGTGGAAGAGCACTTGATACACCTCGGCCTCTAAGTTGGACTGCATTTATTTGGTGCTTTTAGCGCTCTGCACACTCACGCACCGATGACAATCAACTACTATCTGGAGCAATTTGGGTTCAGTGTCTGGATCAAGGACACTTCAGCCAAGGTTCGGTTCAGAAGATTGTCACATGTTTCTCATCTCACCCAGATTTTAGCACCAGATTGAGAGTTTAAAGATTGACAGTCGATGTCAGTATTTATACTGCCACACGTATAGTTAGTCTGTTCTACATTGATGGACCTCTGCCGAGCTGGCCATGCTTACTCTGACTGATTACTGGAACTTTCCTCTTGGCACAGACCTGTGTGTTTATCATTGCAATTACACTCAGACCTCACAGTGACTGAGGTTTCATTTGCAGTCAACAAGAAGCTCGGACGTTCAATAAAACTATGAAATTGCTTTTACTAGTCTCCTGTTTTACTGTGCTTGAATATAGGCCACAAAGTCACGTGATATTACTTAACGTGGCTCCCGGACAATAGATGTAATCAAGTTCCCCATTTTAAAATGAGACAAGTTTGCAGATGAAGCGTGCTTATGAAAAACATGACAGCTTGAATTTACATTTTTTTTTAAAAAGCAGCTGTTATTCCTCACTCTCCCCTCCATCTGTCTGTCTGCAGGTGACCCAAAAAGCTGGCAGAACAAGTCTCTCCCCGGGGACCCCAACTACCTGGTGGGAGCCAACTGTGTTTCTGTGCTCATTGACCACTTTTAAGGACGGACCAGCAGGTGTGAGATTACTGAATGTGAGACCATGTGGGGATAAAATGAAGAGGATGCGCGCGCGCACACACACACACACACACAACACATACAGTACACTCACGCGCACACATGCTGACAGATGCACTCCAAACATTCTTACACACCACATAATGGAGTATGAAGAAGACCCAGTCAGTGCTGTTTACTGCACCCACGGATGAAGGCGAGACACCGATGATCGTTACAAGCTGTTCTTTGAACTCTTTCCCAATTTGAAGTTTTGATGTGAAATAAAAACCGTAATGCATGCCCCGTGCCACTGAGGATTGACACTATATATAAGGCAATTTTTAAATGTAATTTTTACATGAATATTGATGGATGGATGGTTTTAGAGGCAGCATACGTACTTTAAAAAATCTGTGTCGGTATATTTTATGCTATATATGCGTACAGGATATATGGTAGTATAGAGAAGATTTGCTAAAATTGTACTTTAAACTATAAATTCTACTACCAATCAACATCTTGTTATTTTTCAATTCAGGTGACGCAATACAAGTATGTAATCTCCACATTTTCCACATTGAGGGGATTTTAATGAAGGTTTGAGACAGATGCGAGGGAAGATTAAACCTGCGATGGTGACATTTGCAGTATCTGTTGAAGGAGTTGGCAAAACACGAGCTGGATATGAATCCAGGCAGCACACTTTTAGAGGCGCTCTTCCTTCACTTCTTCCTTGAATTCTTCCTTTTCCTACAGTAATATCTCGTAGCTTGATTTCTTACCACGTCTCTCCTTCCAGCCTGAGGGAGATCTATGCATGTTCTTTACTCAGGTCCAGTAGCCTCCTCAGTTCTTTCCTCACATCTATTTCTCTCACTCTCTCTCTCTCTTCTCTTCTTCTCTTTTTCTCTCTGTGCACTCTTGCACTCACACACAAATAAGCAGTGATGCCTTATCTGCAGATTATTCACTTTTCATGAAGAAAAAAAATAAGTTATGATAAATTATGGTATAATGTCATTTGTTTTGCCATTTTTTTGTGAACCCTCTGTATAAAAAATGAACTTGGGTTTAGCACACAGTAACAGTGGATGAAGGATAACAAAGGTATGCTCTTCTTTTATCTGCTATGCATTACTTACAGAAGAAGAAAAAAAACAACAGAAAAGAAGTGGCTGTAAATAAAGCTAGCATATTGCCTTGTCTCTTTTTTTGTAAATGAACTTTTTGTATGTCTTTCTTTTTGTATAAAACTTAGAGAAAACATGTTTAAAAAATGGAAGAAAATGAACGTGGTTATCTTTGTATTCTGGATATACCCTCAAGCCTTGGAAATTGTAACCTAACAATAATACATCACACCTTTTCTACCAATATATTCACACCATGTTATGGGCACAAAAAAGATCTTTTTATGGCTATTTAAGGATCAGGAATGTGCTTGGTCTAAAATATATTGAAAAACATGTTCTTTTAAAAGGGTGTGCTCTCAAAGTGTCCCCCTCACTGACTTGTGATACTGGATGCTGTATTGTGTGCCCTTAAATGTATTTTTGTACTAATAGACAATATATTATGTATGGCACACCAGTACCATTTTATTTTTAGATATAACACGGCTTTAATTGGATATTAGCTCTTCACGTGTGGCTGACTTTTTTTTTTTTCTCTTCAACACAATTTTAAGTATACCACTGTATTAATAAAATCATTTTTAAAATAAAGAGTGTGTGTCTGTAAGGAAGTTTTTTTTCCTACAAAGTGAACCTAAGTTTGTGTTTTTAATAATCTGGCTGTGATTGTTGCCTTCTTTCCTTTTAACATCTGCTGATCACCTTTGACTTTCTGTATATTGTAGGACTGCAGTTAACCATTTTCATGATCACTTAATGTGACATTTATTTTTGTATTTTTTAACCAATAAAATATCAGGAAATAGGCACTTTGAAGGTGGATCTGGCAAGTCCTGATGAGCATGTTTCACTGTTTTGTCTGACCGACAGTCCAAAGCTCACAGATGTTCAGTCTATCACACAAGACAAAGAAAAATAGCAAATTTCCACCTATTTGGGTTTTTTTGTTTGTTTTTTTAAATTACTCAGTTCAACTCAAATCAAAATGATAAATTTTGTTTAATCAATTATCTGGTTATTTTTTTAACTCTACATCTTTGTTTGGCTGTATGTCATAGCTGAGGTTTCACAGCTAGATGGCACAGGTGAGCTCTGAATGAGTGCTGAGCAAGGTCAGAAATACAAAAGTCCTTCAGCTGTAGTTTCAATGTCTCAGGATACTGTTCTCAACAGAGGAGTCATAATATTTTTAGTGTATTAGTTGTTATATATAGCCTACTGACAACTTTAATGTGGTAAAAAAAAAACAGAAAAGGAGCTAAATACACTGCTCAAAAAAATAAAGGGAACACTAACACATCCTAGATCTGAATGAATGAAATAATCTCATTAAATACTCCTTTCTTTACATAGTTGAATGTGCTGACAACAAAATCACGAAAATCAATGGAAATCAACCCATGGAGGTCTGGATTTGGAGTCACACTCAAAATCAAAGTGGAAAACCACACTACAGGCCGATCCAACTTTGATGTAATGTCCTTAAAACAAGTCAAAATGAGGCTCAGTAGTGTGTGTGGCCTCCACGTGCCTGTATGACCTCCCTACAATGCCTGGGCATGCTCCTGATGAGGTGGCGGATGGTCTCCTGAGGGATCTCCTCCCACCTGGACTAAAGCATCCGCCAACTCCCGGACAGTCTGTGGTGCAACGTGGCGTTGGTGGATGGAGCGAGACATGATGTCCCAGATGTGCTCAATTGGATTCAGGTCTGGGGAACGGGCGGGCCAGTCCATAGCATCAATGCCTTCCTCTTGCAGGAACTGCTGACACGCTCCAGCCACATGAGGTCTAGCATTGTCTTGCATTAGGAGGAAGCCAGGGCCAACCCCCAGCATATGGTCTCACAAGGGGTCTGAGGATCTCATCTCGGTACCTAATGGCAGTCAGGCTACCTCTGGCGAGCACATGGAGGGCTGTGCAGCCCCCCAAAGAAATGCCACCCCACACCATTACTGACCCACCGCCAAACCGGTCATGCTGGAGGATGTTGCAGGCGGCAGAACGTTCTCCACGGCGTCTCCAGACTCTGTCACGCTTTCATCTGTGAAGAGCACAGGGCGCCAGTGGCGAATTTGCCAATCTTGGTGTTCTCTGGCAAATGCCAAACGTCCTGCACGGTGTTGGGCTGTAACACGTCTGGCCCTCATACCACCCTCATGGAGTCTGTTTCTGACCGTTTGAGCAGACGCATGCACATTTGTGGCCTGCTGGAGGTCATTTTGCAGGGCTCTGGCAGTGCTCCTCCTGCTCCTCCTTGCACAAAGGCAGAGGTAGCGGTCCTGCTGCTGGGTTGTTGCCCTCCTACGGCCTCCTCCACGTCTCCTGATGTACTGGCCTGTCTCCTGGTAGCGCCTCCATGCTCTGGACACTACGCTGACAGACACAGCAAACCTTCTTGCCACAGCTCGCATTGATGTGCCATCCTGGATGAGCTGCACTACCTGAGCCACTTGTGTGGGTTGTAGACTCCGTCTCATGCTACCACTAGAGTGAAAGCACCGCCAGCATTCAAAAGTGACCAAAACATCAGCAAGGAAGCAAGGAACTGAGAAGTGGTCTGTGGTCACCACCTGCAGAACCACTCCTTTATTGGGGGTGTCTTCTAATTGCCTATAATTTCCAACAGCATGTGAAATTGATTGTCAATCAGTGTTGCTTCCTAAGTGGACAGTTTGATTTCACAGGAGTGTGTTTGACTTGGAGTTACATTGTGTTGTTTAAGTGTTCCCTTTATTTTTTTGAGCAGTGTATGTAAAGAATGAAGAACACTTTAAATTTCTCTTACATAACATCAGGACCTTAAGGTTCTGCTTTTACACAGTATTCCTTTAAAAAGTATGTTTTCATAAAATGTATTTAGAAAACCACCAAGTCGCCTCCTATTTTGGAAAAAAAAAGAAACATTTGCACATCCACAGGATGTAGTTCCAGGGGGGCCCAAGTGGTCCCAGAACAGGTTCACATGTGATTAAAAAGAGGGAAGAAAATCTGTTACAGGTATTTCTTCTGACCTTTCTCTTTTTTACTGGTTTCCTCTTCACTCTGCTTTTTATTGTGTAATACCGGATACTGTCACCTGTAACTCAAAGGCAGAAACTTCCCATAGTCTGTTAAACTGCTCACAACTCATGTCCAGAACCTGTGGGGGATGGGGGGGGGGGGGGGGTCACAAGTGGACAATGACTCTTTAATGGGTCAACAACGGGAACCACTGACCACTGGGCCAGACAAACCCAAACCTGTCAGGATAATTTCGGGGTTCTTATTATTATAATGTGCAGCCAGTCTCATTTCTTGGGGCACTTCAGGCAAAATCCTAACCAGGTGTGTCCCTTAAATTTACTACCTGCCAGGAACTGTTACCTACAAGCCTACATAATGCAGGACGGATGATACAGAGCCAATGTTCAAGGACAGAGGATGGTGTCCTGATGCTGCGTCACTTTTAACCACTTTGTTTTATAAAAGGTAAACCCAGCTGAGCTTAAAATTTCCTATATTGACTGACCCATGAATCCTAATTACATGCTGAAATGTAAGAAGGCTCAGACTGTAGCCTCTTCATGTAGCACAAAATACGTCAGAAATGTGAGGTCTTTCCTATTTAAAAAAACGAACCTAATTCCTTGACAGGCTACTATAGGCTACTTCCGATGATCAGATACCACGTTTTACAGCAGCGTTAACAAAACATGCGCAGGTTTTTGTGGATGTTGCCTGAAAGCAGAGAGCCCACCTCCCTTTCCTTCACTATCGTAGTAAAACAGACCGCCATGTAGCCTAGAGACGCGCGGAGTGGCACATCTCCAATACGCAGTGTGCATCTCCTGTCCTGGCGGTGAGATGTGCTGTCGCCTGTGAAAAGAAAAGCACGGCTGCTGCCTCACACGGACCGACCAAACGCTGTGGAGATTCATTCAGCGGGATTTCAGACATTTAGACGTTTCATCTTCAAGGAGTGCAGGCTCACCTTTTTTTTCTTATCAAGGCTTCAATCTCTGGCTTCTGAGTTGTTGGAGAGGCTGCAGACGGGCGAGCAAGACAGCATGACAATGCTGCAAGGCTGGTTGACAGCAGGATGCTGCGTTTTTTTTGTTTTGTCCTTTTTGCGTTTGACTTTTGAGGAATGGGATTATTTGCCATGAGCAGTGGCCGACAACTCCAGCGGTTTATTTTGTAGATTTTCGACTTGAAAATATACCTACTTTCTGTGTGTGTGTGTGTGTGTTTGTGTGTGTTATGGTAAACATCTGGTGCCTCGTCCAGTGCGCTCTTTTCTCACCTTTCTCCTCGCACCCACCGCAGCGCATTTCTAATTGGAGCGACTCTGAGCATCTTAATTGATAGAATCCACATCGGACACTGACCTCGAGTTACGCCGTTTACCAGCGCGCTGCAGACTGAGACACATCGCCTCTGCTGTTTGTGGATGTTATTGCCCTTTACTGGTGCTGCTGTATTAGTTGTTCGTCCGGTCGGTCGTACCCTTCAGTGACAATGCCGGTGAACGCGCTGCCCCGCGGCGGCAGCAGCGGCATCGGCGGCCCAGGGTCCCTGAGCCCGGCGTCGCTGTCCCGCAGCCTGTCCCGGCTAAGGGAGTACCGGACCCGGACGAGGATCATGCTGGCTCTGGGGGTCTCTCAGATGGTCCTGGGGAGTCTCATCCTGGCCGTCAGCTTCGCGGCTCTGGCTCTCACCACATCACCCAGAGTCCGGCACTCCTGTCCCTTCTGGGCAGGTTTCTCTGTGAGTACAACATGCAAGAAACAATGCTGCTTGGATTTGGTGGCATGAATCGAGCACGGTGCAAGTTTTCATCTCCAAAAGAAAAAGAAAAATGCATAGCCAAATCCTAAAAGCATGGTATTAGTGAGGCACCCAAAGCATTGTAATGTGATGGGAATATTATTTATATTTAGCATCCATACAATAGACTATAAACATGTGTCACCTGTCACTACATTGGTCTCATGGTCAGTTTTCTGCACAGGAGACCAAAAATGTTGATACATTCTCTGTAGACTCAAAATATGGAATATTTCAACCTGATTTTGTAAATTTTGGATTT